ACAATAATTTATTCACATATCTTAAAAATCTATACGTATAATATTTTACGAGCTTTTCTTGTATATACTAAAGTACATCATTTTTAAACAAATTTTTAAAATTTAAAAGAAATTAAGTCTAAAATATAAAACAATAATAATAATTTCCATTTGAATCTGTGTTCAAAAAAAGAGGGGTTCCTATTTGAAAAACCAACATTTATACTTATACAAGATATTTGCAGTAGTGGCAAAAAATTAAAAATGGTTTTAAAATAAACGTAAAACGATTTCACAATAATTTAAAAAAAAACATAAATCAAATTCATTTAAAATCCTCTGAGAAAATTGATGATTCATGATAAAATAAAATCACTCTGTAGTATTGTTTATATTTTACAACATTTAACCTTTGATTCCGTTCACCGTAAATAAATAGTATGCATTCAATTAGCATTCATTTTAAAATACCAAAATTAGATTTTAAAACTACAATTGAAAAATGAGAGTAGGTTTAACTAAGAGTACTTCTTTAACAAAAATATACCTGTCGTGTATAATATTTATGTAGGATAAAACTTTTTGTAAGTAAAAAACATTTTAAAATGTTAGTCGGAGTAACGTAGGAAAGGTGAAATATATTGTTATTATCCTTCCTTACTCCTCCTATCTAAATTTTATACCGTTATGGTTTTGAATACGAGCTTAAAAATGAAAATAAAAACGGTACACGGAATAATGGTAACCTTTTGAAAAATATCGTAAATATTTATAAGGTCTATGTATAAGTTATACGAGTAATAATGCAATTTAAACGATTCTTTAATAAAAGAACAAAAAAAACTAAGAATCAATTTTTTTTTCGACTAGCTGGTTCGCGTTGTATCGCTCTGTATAAAAACCCGACAATTTCAAACAAAAAGAACGACGAGTATCGCCGCCGGCGTTGCGTAAAACGCGCCAAAACGGGTGGTGGTCGTGTTTAGGACACGCGCTAAACAATAGCTGATAATATTATAAAAGCATTCCCTGACAAGGCGAACACTGTTGATCGTGTACCCGAATACGATAAATAATAAATAATATATTATCATTATTATAATACAGGCGTGTAAATATTACGGCACGTCTAAAATTATGTGCGTGTGAATATAATATGAAATATTATTTCGATTCAATACGTACGTAACTAACCGTTTTTTTTATTATTTTTTTTTAGTACAAATTGCTTGAAAAAAATAATATTATGGTTAATGTGCGGTATAGGTACCTATACCTATATATATCTAGATAGGTGGGTAGGTATAATGTATAAGATCGTGATAGATATAAATGCGAAATATAAACGAATAAAATAAAAACATATTTAGATAAAAATTATTTTAAAAACACATGTGCAGCAAAACTTCACCCTAGAATAGAATTTTCTCCAGGGCTAATTTTTTGCCGTTATCGAATAATAATTTATTTAAAATAATTCTGGTTGACAGAGTTTCTTACTGGTGTTAATAATATTAAATTTGTATTTGTTTTGATTCGTATTTACTTGACATTTATTAACCACGTCCACTCCCTTCCTTTCTACTTCACAGACTATTATTTTTCTCCTCTTTTAGGTAAAATTTTATCCTATAACCTTCTTGGAATGATAATGAATTTTACTAAATAATTTCATCAAAATATGTAAAGTAATTCTTGAGATTTTCGTTAACGTATAAACAAACGATAAAGTTGGGGATTGGAAATTTAAACCTTCTCAAGGCACATCATTGACTAAAATTGTATTTATACACATTTTAATCAATTTGTTTATTTTCATGAATCTGTAAGGCTATTTCTCGCGAAAACATAAAATCTGAGCATAAAAATGATTGTGGAGAAGTTCAAAAGTTGAAACCGCCAAAAGGCACATACTTATAGTATTAACATTATGCACATTGCATATACAACATTGCATTCGCCTAGATATATTTGGTGGATATGAACAGAGGAATAAAGTCAAATTATCACCCCCAACAAAATAGTGAAGTTCATATAAAAATTCAATCAAAATTTGATCACTTCAATATCTTAATAATATTTATTATAACAATACACATGACAAAAATAATACTTCTTCCTTGATTTCTCCGTTTGGTCATTTCCAGATAAAATGTTGCCCATTATTATAATAACAGTCCCATCCTCCGTGATTTATTACCATTCTAGTCCAATTTACTTTCCGGCAGAATCGATTATCCTCCCTTATTATCTCAACTTTCTTAAAAAAAATTCCCCTTCGTTTCATCCGCTCTCCACCGTTTTTTTTCATTTCCCATACTCTTCTACAAATTATTCTCCTAGTAAGTCCCATTTTATCCACACCATTATAACGAGGTCTTCATAAATATTGTACATATAACTAAACAGTATCCGAATAAATTTTTAGGATATTACCGCGTTACTTAATAAATATCAAAACGCTGGTCATAGACAAGTATCCTCGAATTCACCACGGGGTATTCTCGGGAGGGGGGGGAATGCGACAATAAACGCAAACACCTATGGTCCCGTGGAGTAATATTCAAGATATATGCAGCGCGACTGATGGTTTGTTCTGATGGATACTACATCATATGAATGGCTTTTATATAGAGTCACACCAGTCCGGGTATAACGATGTACAGTTAGTTCGTGGTGAAATATTGTGTGTACAACAATCATAAATTATTTCGGAGACATTTAAAAACGTAATAATATTAACAGGTAGTAGGCGATGAAATTAATGATATTTTTTTTTTCTTTTCCCGAATATGTATAATATATGAACATTTTTTTTTCTTATTTTTTCGTTATTTTTCTTTAATATTATAGTAATGATACTTATATATTTTTATGAAAAGTACCGACCTACCTACCTAATGCCTACCTACATACCTAATTCATATATAAAAGTATTATATTTGTACGAAATAAAAAAAAAAAAAACCATTAAATTTCGTATTAACGTCAACTATCATTCTCGTCGTCCTCATTAATGAAACTAAATGCGCAGTTAAAATATAGTACGAGTAGTCATTGCAGTAGTAGTTATGGTAATTATGATAATAATATTATATTTTTATTATGTACGATTACACAGATAAAAATCATGTATATAATTTTTTTAATTTTTAATTTAACGGTGATATTTGCCTGTAACATTTTTTTTGAAATTCTCAACAGATTTACACCCTAAAACCGGTTATAGGTTCCTTTTATCGGAAAAAGTTTTTCGGTTAGGATACATATACTCCAAATTGTTCACATCGTGCAAAGTTATCGCCTGGAAGCGGTACTTTCTTTGAAAAAAAGTTCCTATATTTCCGAAAGTTTTTCTTAAAAATTAAAACAAATTAATGACGACATCAGGTCAGTTTTTTTTTCGTGATTTCAGCGTTTTGGTATTTCTTTATTCAGAAACGGTTTTTGATTACAACGATTTATCGACGCATTCAATTCTAACTCATTCAAATTAAATTCTATATGCATATACCTTCCCATTTTCCCGACTTCCCATATTTTTACTTTCTCTCGGTCACATACGAAATAAAAATAAAAAAAGAAAAAAGATGCAAAATTATTAATCATGGTTATAGCGTGACTTGTTCATATTTTAACAAAACTATAAAAACAATTTTTATTTTTTTTAAATCTGCTCCGATCAATCAGACAGAACCTAATCAAATATATGATATATTTTATCTTTGTTGACTGCATCATAAATTACATAAACTTATAAATTATACGCCTAACGGTATGTAATAATATCGCACCTACCCATCTATAAATCACAGCGATGCTTACCCGTGGTGCGAATTATAATATCCGGTTTTTGTTTTTTTTTAATATGAATTATTTTCATTAGTCATCTCGCGGTGTGCGGCTGCGGCATCTGTGACAATAATAATTATTCTCCTTAAATCTAAAAGCAGGCCGCACGACCTACGTCTCGTAATTTTATTTGAAAAAAAAAATAAAAATTCTAAAAAACCAAAGTTATTTATAAACATAAACGTAATCGAAAAGTGGTCGATTAGTTTCGTAGGGAAAGCGCACCGGCGGCGGCGCGGCGGTCGCCTCAAACATTTAAAACGAAATTTAACGTGAAAATGAAAAAAAAAAAAAAAAAAACCACAAGTATAATTACGTCACGATAAATTACTCGGACAAAGTTCGCGCGTAAATCAACGGGCGCGAGTTATATTTTCATGGCGCTGCTATGGCAGTGTTTCGAATATTATTGTTCTTTAAACGTATTTCGGTACCTACACACAGATTTCATAGTTTACCGCTGCTGCAGTTTCTCCGTCTGCCGAGTATATTTACTGCAGTTTACGACTGCGGAGACGCGGTAGAGCGGGCGAACGTCCGGCTCGCGTTTTCTATGTCTATATATATTCTGAACTGCTTAAAAAAAAAAAATGTATGTCCGTCCGTGATCGAAAACACAAAACCGCTCTAATCCGCGTTCGAAATCTGCAGTAGCGACGAAAAAACGTTCGGAGAATCGGTAATGAACAAAAACAAATATACAGGGTTATGTTTAGCTTATAAAGTTTATGAGCTAAACACAATATAAACGGTAGACATCGATAAATCATCGTAAGAAAAAAAAAAATAAAACGATTTGAAGTGGAATAGTATTGTAGTAGTATTAGTCGTGCCAAAGATAACCCTGCAGAAATTAACAAAAATAAAACTCATGTACCGATATTTTTTACTTAGTTTTTTTATAATTTATTAATGGTAAATCTACTGCAGGGAATTTAGAGATTTTTTTTATTCAATAAAGTACAATAGGGCTAAAAATCCACATTTTTTAAGGTACAATGAAAAATGTTCTTACTTACCAAACGAAAAAGTATTTTCTTTTAAAAAGTAAAAAGTAAAAAAATCTGGGGGATAAATTGTAGAATATGTCGATAAATGTCTCTAATAATGTACCATTAGACAAAAAGTCCGCATCGATTATACATGGGTCATAACGGGAAGAACACCATTTTAATATATTTATCTAATTTTACCAAGGTCAGGAAGCTCCGCTCAGAATCAGTTTTTGATTACAATGGTTTATCGAACTGTTAACTGCATTCTGCATTTAGTATCATATACAAATCTCCCTCTAGATTCCTTACTTATCAAATTCCGTCCTGAAACGGTGATGACCAAGTACCCGTGGTTCGAATGATAACAGTATTCTGCATAAACTCGGCAAATTTAATTCGAAAAATACGAACGTAGATATTGTGGATTTTTCACATTTTTTTTTTTTTTTAACCATTTGTGTATTGCTCATCTTGGGAGGCGTCAGGCACATTATAATATTAATTATTTATTCTTACTCGCAGCACAGCAGGAGATTGTACATCGCATTATTATAAATTATAATTAGTAATTATTTGTATTGTGTTTTCACCTCCCAGATCGGTTCACGCTGTCGACAACGGTGACTATTGTGGGAACTGTTAAAATCGAGTAACGCACTCGGGTGTTAAAAATCTTAACTAATGATAGTAGGCACACCCGCGTATCGGCTGTACATTTAATATTATAATATTTCGAATTTTTGATCATAATTATATTTAAACTAAATCTCCGCACGAATTTCTGTAAGCGAAAAAATATGTTATAAATAGATCGAAAAACAAATTTCTCGGTTTGAATTCATTCTCCATCGCATCGATTCTGCTCCACACCCCCTTACCCAACTCGATTTTATACGTGTTTCATTAAATCTGTAACCATTCTCGTAGATAATACTACTATTAAAAAATTGATCCACAACATTATATCGTCACCGACCGTACGACCAGTAGTCTGTAAATAATATTACCATGCTGTATAATATGCGAGATTATACTGCCGGTTTAAACACAGCACAGCCTCACATCTCTCTAAATTGATAAACGTTTTGAAGTGGATTAAAAAAAAAAAAAACAACAGTCGCACATCATATTATTGTATTATAAAATAATAATCGTGTCTCACGGTCATTTAAAACGTCGACCGGACGTTAAAAGGATTGAAATTTCAAGGTGGCGACCGCATAGTAAAGGCATGGGGCCGGGTTTTTCGGACTACGGCACGTGGCACCGGCAAACACAATACAAATCATTGATTTTTTTAGCAGAATTGTTTAAAACTATTTTTTTTTTTGTTTTTTTTTTTTTATTATTATTATTGAAATACATTAAAAAATCACGGACATTATATATTCTCAAAAACAAAACTGGGTATTAATGAGGTAAAAAGTTAAAAGTCAAGTTGGTTTTAACTTTTAACTGTTGATTTTTCACTTATCTTAACTTTATTTTACATTAATTTGGTAATTAATAACTAGTTAATTTGATATTTTATCACGATAAGTTTATTTATTTCGATTTCTTTTGAGTTTAAAAAATTATTAAATTACTATCCATACATTTTATTTGAATACCATCATATATAAATAATAAAGTTTTGTGTGTCCTTTTATTGGACGGAGGGATTAATTGGATTAAATCTATACGGTACCTACACTACTCTCCGTGTGACTTTTATTTTAAACGAACTTAACTGAATTAATATTCTTCATTAACTTGCTCAGCCTTGTCCAAACGATTATCGTTGAAACTTGCATCAATATTATAATATTATAATTGGCATAACTTTTTATTGACCGCGAGTACGGGTAGGTATATATAGCAGTAATAATCTGCAGTTAGTACGAAACCATTAAAATATATGCATATTATTAATAGTAAAACGATGCAATACATAATTTTTGCACCTCTGTAGAATTAAAAAAAAATTGAAAAATGCCACTCGATGCTTTCCATAATGTTGAACGCCCACGATGCGTCCACAGCATCGCGTGACTAGTAAAAGAAAAAATGTCCAACTCTCCGGTACGGTAGTATAATATATTATGTATGCCAGTCTACTAATAAAAGGATACACTATCAATACGCTCAGTGGCGTGCGCAGAGAGGAACAGTTTAGGAGTGAGACGGTTATATTCTCTCTCCCGTCCATTAAATATACATCAACAACTATGAGTATTTTTATTTAATAATTTATAATCTTGAAATAACGTAGGTACATACATATTTTGGCCAAATTACAAGGAAAAGCTAGATTAGTTGAATCAAACAAATTCTGGCTTCTTTGGATCCGAGTTTAAAACCATCACATTTTCTGGTACTTCAGTAATATATTACTATATATTATGTATTAATTTACTGGAAATAATTAAAATAGATCAAAGACGAGATGTTTTGGTTTCAGTATGTATCTAGATTATCTTTTAGACCACATTTTCTAGATAACAATCCTAATATTGGGTATGATTAGACAACGGACATAATATCGTATACCAAGGTTAATAACAATATAAATAATTACGACACGTCGTGATAAACGCCGGCGCTTAACCGTGTTCGGGTAACGTCCTCCTACTTAACCAAATCTAACATAACTTAACCATATATCTAACGTTTTACCGGAAATATAGGAATTGTTTAAATGATTATTCTATTTGATAGAATTGTAAAATACATCGTAAAAAAAATCTCTAACGATTTAAAAACAGTTTTCGTGACATCATCTGTATAATAATATAATAATCGTGTATATTAAGATAATTGATCGCGATTTTGGGCGAAACGGTGGAAAAAATGTTTTTCTCCTGATCCTGTTTTATTGCGTCGTCTAGCTTCTCTCTAATATTAGGTATCTTATGCGCGGAAAAACGAATAACGAAATATTATCGTCTCTTTCAATCGTTTTATTATAATTTTTTTTACCCGCCGTTGGCACGGGCCCAAAGTCCGTAAACGCTAAACAAGGTGCTGAAATAATAGTGAAAAAACGGTCATGGCACGCGTTAAAAATAAAAATAATACACATTTATATCGTCTACGCATATTTTAAACGGGATTTTTTTTTTTAATAATTAGATGGTTATCGGCGGTATTTTATCCCCACTGATGAGTGACGTAATAATATTATGTCGCGCGGTGTACATGACATGATAAACATTTATATATATATATATATTACTCGTATAGTCGTGTCTCAAAAATATATATAAAAATAAAGAAACAACAAATTATATGGTCGGAATGCTCCGCGGCACTTACCTGGAACAGTAAATTTTGTTTTCGAGCCAACAGAATACGTTAATAATGTGCATCCTTCACTTCACACCGCCGCCGTCACCGGATTATGTGTGTACGAGTACGAAAAAATTATAATATTATTTTAAATAGACTGTGCGATATGTTCATAAAAACTCAATTGTCCGTCTCTATACGCGCAGTTTTCTCATTAGACCCAAAAAATTATACGACAACGGGAAATCGCGTATGAATACCGGCAGCGGTTCTTTCGTCTATGTCTATATTATATAATACAATTTTCTGTTTTTTTTTTTTTGTAACACATTTATCATAAGCACAGACGTCTTTTCGGGATAAAAATTGTTTACTAACCGCAAATAGAGTGTGACCCTACGGAGAAAAAGTTCCTATACGAGAAGTGTATGCATGTGGAAAGTGGCTCAATATTTATAATAATAATGATAATATGATGGTTGTGAAATTTATGGACAATCAGTGTAGACGACGAGAACAGAAATGTAGAGGCTTTTGAACAATGAACAGATACTATCGAAAAATATGTTTAATATCCAAAGAATAGAAAAAATAACAAACCTATAGATAGTACCTAACGGAATAAAGGAAAAAATTAATACGATTTGGCACATATAGAATTATAATCATAAAAGGGACCGAATGATATAAAATATTTACTGCGTCACGATAATTTGACGAAAAGTGTCATCGAAGCTGACGAAAAATTACATTTTGAAAGAGACAGTCCAACATTGGAGTGAATGAAAAAAAATACGATATAGACATGGATAATAATTATAATATAGTATAATATGTAACTATTGTAAGGTTATAAATTATAGTTACAAGGATTTGAAGGAATATTACTTTAGTTGAGAAAAGGAACCATGAAAATCTGCGACATACTAATCAGATAATTAAAGATGATAATATCAATAAAGTTATATTGTCCGTTTATTTTTTTCTCAAAACTATAAAATTATCTTTAACATATAGATATAATTATAGTGAAAATAATATATATATATAAATATAAGTTTCTGTTTTCACATATAATATTACCTTTAACGACGAAACATTTGTAAAACCTTCAAAATAATAAATATAGGTAGTATTTTTACAGATGAATATTATTTTAATCTAGATGAAAGATAACGATTACGAGTAAAGAATAATCTAAGATAACAAATAAAAGATACTATTTTGAGTTATTCAAATAACATAAAAAAATAATAAAGATACAAGATAGTTTATACAAATAATGTTTTATAGCTAAAGCTAGGTACCTAATTATTCATACTCAAAATCTATATTATTAAAAATTCAATAAATAGTATTGTATACACATTAGAAAGTATGTCAACTACTTTTTATTATTATTATTATTATTAATATATGAAAAAATCAATTATTTTAGAAGAAATTTAGTATTAAATAAGAAGAGGAAATACATAGTACTAGTGTCGTGCATGAGCAAGTCAATAATTCTATTATCTCAACGTGGTTTTGTACATTAGGTACAGCGAAAATAAAACATTTGGGGAATAATGGCATAAAATTATTAGGTATCTATTATCTGAGCATTTACTAAATATAATTATGAAGATAAGAACATGATAATTTAGTCCAGACAGAACATAATTTATCATTACTTAAATAATCCAAACGCTGTATATAGCTAGTAATATAAATAACTTTTGACTTCTTAGTATACTGTTTATATACTTCTATAAACATAAACTCATCTAAAGAACTAATTAATTACTATAATATAAATATATTGTATAAATTTACAGCGAATAAAAACCGTTGATAATTTATTTTTATTAAATATTATAATATTATAATAATTATTATTACCCGCCTTACAAACCTTTGATGAATAATTCGCTATTTCCAGTAATTATATTCCACAGATCGTTTTTGATGCGTGGTTATAGTAATACATGAGTATATTATCATAATGCAGGTGTTAAATAAATTTTCTCCTATGCAGTTAAAATTTTAATTGATGTAACATAATAGTAGCTAAATTAGGATTTAAGTGTTTTATAGACTAATATAAATTACAAAGTTTCGTTCTTACGAGTTCGTATACAAATCAACAAAGCTCATCAACGTTGTTTTATGTTTTTTATTTAAACAATTAAAGGTGCAGTTTAACGATTTAGATTCCACCTGTCTATGCATTATCAACTTTTTTAAAAAATTCATCTGCGTGGCATTATCAACTAAATTTTTTTTAATACGTATTTTTATTCGTCTAGAAATTTGTAAAATTCGATAGTAAAATTATAATAATAACCTAATAATCTTGTTTTTACGGCACACATTTATAAAAAATTCAAATACGACGAATATTACACACGGCATTACGTATTCGTGATACGTAGTTAATTTTATGTCTCTAATAAAAGTGAATAGTTTTTTCGAAAACTAAACTACCGTCACACTATCTGTAGCTATATAAAACCTTTAATCATTTTTTCGCTCAAGCGAATTAGGTACTATACATAATATACTCGAATGGATAATTTAAAATTCAATTTACCGAAAATCGTGATTCGACCGTTTACGACTTTGATTATGTTACGGTATACGTTCCGTGAAGTTTTGGAAATCAGGAACACCAATACGCGTATAGACGGGTATTTCAATGTCTTTGGCTTCGGGGTGCGGGTCAACGTAAATTTGTATTCGATTGAAATCTGCGCGAACGCAAAGAGAAATCATCGGCTCATTAACCATAAGACAACACTTCGTCGTGCTTATGAAATCGATCTTAAAAATATTTATGTATGTAGGTACATCATAATAAAGATGACGTTGCAAAAAACTTATCGAAAATATAGAAAAATGCCACCTGTAACAAATTTAAAGAGCGACAGATGAAAAAGTATAGAAAAAATTGTAGACCATCGGAGAGTATATAATATGTTCAGATACGACGGCCTCGTGACCCGGAATCGTTTTCGATAAGAAATACGTTTTCGTTTCAAAATCATTCAAGACAGTTAATAAAAATGACGTACCAATACAATGCAATGTGCTCTTCGTTTGGTTTGTATCATTTTGATTTTGGAAATTCGATAGTTTGTAAAAAGTTATTTTATATAAATCAAAAATTATAACCACGTTCGTTGTTATCGGAAAAGGAAGTGAAAAACGAACGGTTTCTTTGGCGGAGAGAAAAAAAAAAGTAATTCCACGAAGACGCGCTAAACTTTTCACGTGAGTAGTCCAACAATAATGTTTTATATAAAATAGGTAGGAAGGTAGGTGTATAAAAAAAATACCTTCGAAATAAATAATCTAAACAAATATTTAAAAATAATATTATTACGAACTTACCACGAGTATATTTTTTTTTTTTTTAAAAAACAAACCTGCTTTTATTAAAACATGTATTTGTTACGAATATTTAATGCAACGACTTTTTAAGTGTCTTATGAGTTCATGTATTAACACGTACTCAGACCTTGGAAACGTTCGTTAAATTATATACTTTTTCATGAACTAGTTCATAAGCATTGTATAATTGTATTTGAACTGAGTTCGTGGAATATTTTTTTATATATATTTATAAACTTGATTAGTTAAAAGTTCATTTGTAAATTAACTTAGGTTTATTAAAGATTAGATTAAGTAGGTATTCATTTTCATTAAAATTACGTACAAAGGTTAACATGGGGAAAACTTCGAAGGAGAGACTATATTTACCGAAAATTGAAAGACGTAACTAAATCTAACCTAACTTCTAAGAAACCTATCATGTGGTGACAAAACTTCCAAAAGTTGTTTTTTCTCACATACATTTGTTTATAAAAATGTTATAATGATAGGGGTTTAAATAAACTGTACACCATCTTCCACAAATATTGCCATACACATGTCCGCTTAGTAATATAGTAAAACGGAGTTTTTAAAACTTCGTTAAAAATGTCCCAACAACAATAACCAAAATAACGTTCCCTCAAGTTTTGAGGAATCTAACTAAAGGGAACTGATAAAATTACCATAAATAAGAAATGGGCTATGTCCTCTTTATACCCCACTCTAGCTTTAACCACAAATCACTTTAGTCTTAGATTCACAGTGATGTCATAATATATATAAATTATGTTATTTAGTAGAATTTTCAATCTTTTTAAAATATAGTAAAATGACATTATCTAATTAGAATTTAAACTGTGATAATTAAGTTGGCAACAAAATCGCTTTAAATAATTTTCTAATTTATCAAATTAAAAATTTTAGATCTCTTAATAAATCTCTTTTTTGATAAACGACTCTGTTGATTACAGTTTATTTAAAAAAGTTGATTAAAACTCTAGTTTGATGCATCTCGAATTTTGAACTGATGAACTAGTTCATTCCGAAGACTGCATATACAGAACTCGTGTAACACTCGCACTCTATATTCGAACACATCTGATTGAATATTATTGACCGAAACAGTACATGCACAAACGGCTCAGTAAACATTGAACTCGATATTTATATATACACGATAGTATATTCGCTAGATCCATTTATTTTTTTAGTACTCTTGAGGACATTATTGTTAAACGTGAAGTATTTCGTTATTTAAAGAGGTCGGCCCGACGTGGATTTTATAAAGATTTGCGCGTTTTCAAAAAGAAAACACAAAAGAATAAAATACCGTATCAGGTTCTGCGGGTGGCCACAATACGTCAACAAACTTTCAATTTTCAAAACGTATGCGGCCCATCAGCGTGTGGTCGGAACACAGGGATGGCGTGAAACTCAGGACTTATAAAATAATACATTTGATCCATACAATGACCCATTTATAAATACTCTAACCCGTTAAATATGCAAAAACTTTTGTTAAATATACTAAAGAATAAAGATTTATACTTAACCCTAAATGAGAATATGCACTAAAAATACCAAAATATATCTTTAAAATAATAAAATTCTTAGAATCGTTAAGTCACGAACACACTTTGGTATGAACTAGCTCTTTTTTTTTTTTTAATATGCTAAAGCTTATAAACATCTGCATCTAGTTATAACTCGTGAACGTCAAATCCAATGTTAATGTGTTATGCATATTTCAAAATGTTTATAGAAAAATATTCTATATTCGAAACTGTGTTTCATAAAAGGAATGTTCCCATTTTAAAATCAAAAATATAGATTTAATACTGTTCATTTAATTAGGTGATTAAGAGCCGGAGTAAATACCTAACTGAAAATAACATTGAAATAAAAGTATCCATAACTAGTATAACTAGGTAAGTGATAACTATACCATATTATGATGACTGAAAGAAATACAATTTACTATTAAAATCTTTCACGAGAAAAACGCCGGTCGTGATAAATGGATCATGTTGTGTATCTCATAGGCATTAAAAAAATAAATAAATAAATAAAAACCAATATTATGTGAAATCAACTTGACCCCGTATGAACGCAGAGGAATTCAAATAATACTATATCGTGTGAATACGATATATACCCTCCATGGTAATATTTGGCGATGTGGAAAACTACGTTACTTTCTGCGCCACGTGTTCTAGTATTATGTTTTCGGGTAGACAAATCGCATTTCGAGTTTACAATAACGGGTCGCTAATATTACGAGTATATACGAAAAGTGTTACGAGTACAACTACAATATTTTCCAATAAAACACACAAAGTTGTCAAAGTGAAAAAATACAAATAAAATGAACGGTTTTTTTGAGAAACATTTGATATCTTAAAAATGTAAATATTTCAACAGAAACCTTTGGCTTACTTAACAAAAATAAAACTTTTTCGTTGACTAATCATATATCATAATATACCTGTGGCATGGAAAAATTATTTAGACCTATACGGGTATCTTATAGAACTTATAGCAATAAGAAACTTGTACAATTTTAAAGTACTTTGTGTCAAGGCCAGGTTTATCTAAAAAGAGTTCAAAAAGAGCTAAACAAATTGGCTCCCAAGCTAATAGGTTGATTTGATGACTTTTTTTTAAATTTTTTACTCATCACCCACCAAATCATCGGCCCTCTACTTATACCTATACATTTTTGCATACAACTTCAAAAATATCTAAAGGACATTTTACTATATCTATATACTTATTGATACCTATTATAAAGAAATTATTTTATGTGTAAGTTTGTTTGTTGAAGGTAATCCCTGGAACTGCTGATCCGATTCTAAAAACTCTTTCACCAATAAAAAGTAATACACTCTTCCTGAATGGTTATGTTTTATTGAGAGCATAACTGTCACGGTCAAAACCATGCGGGACAGCAGTAGTATCAAAATATCAAATTTACACATTTTTTTATAGAAAAAAAGACAAATATACATCAATAAATAAAACATTATTTAATTGGAAAATAATCTAATAAAAAATCTAAGTAAAACGCCAAATACCATTCATTGACTTATCAGAAATGACCACGTCCAGAATTTTTATTTTGTAGTTCCATATAATAATGCACCGTAGATGTACAATATGAGAATGGATTTTTAGAAATTCAGCCCTCTTAAAAAGAGGGCTTCACACATAAATCTAGTCATTTAAATACGAAAATGTTCGTTTAAGACGTTCAAGTGTATGTAAAGAGCGAGGATTTACGCGTATATTTATACGTGATTTTTGTTCTCAATGTTTTTTCTGTCATATATGTAAGCAATTCCTTAAAATCTCTACACATTTTTATCCATTTTCATTTCGGTCTATATTATCTTTTTGACCATAATCTGCGCAATACTCGTATAAATACTAACAACGTTCGCAATCTTTTTTTTTCCTTTTAAATCTCGGCCGTCGTTCCTTTTATCTTAATGTACAGCGAAAGAAATTCACTTTACTCACATATAATAATAATTTAATACAATACTAAATTTTCGTGTTTCTCTGAATTTTTACTCGTCTATTTTTATACAATGTATTTTAAATGTACTCGTACCTAATATCGTTACGTTTTCATAAAACATGATATGGTTTTTTTTTCATCATTTTATACCATTTATCGTTAAAAAAAAATTCATGATTATTCTCATCTCTTTCATTATTTTCTGCATTTCAATATTTTTTATTTTAGATTCTGAGTGAAGCGAAGAAATTTATAGTTTTACAATCATGTTTATTTATTATTTTTTTTCTGTGGATAACTTTTCTATCAACAATTTTGCTCCGACTTATAATGATAGCAATTTTTCTTTAAGAATATCTGACTGGAGAAGAACTTTAGAGTTTAGAGAGGTCATTTTTTAGTTTTGTCTGAAGTTTTTTCAATATTGTATTGTAAAAACCGGAAAAAAACTGAGGAAAAACGGGAAAATGTACAAAATGCAGGTATTAGTTTAAAACTATTTTGGCCTTTTTTTCCTGTGAACAACTTTTTAACATTTTTGCTTCAATTTATAATTATAGCACTTTTTCTATAAGGAAATCTGACTAGGGAGGTACTTTAGAGCGACCATTTTTTTGATTTTCCCAGGAATTTTTCCAATAAATGGGAAAAAACGTAGGAAAAATTAAAAAAATGGTAAAATATAATAAACTAATATTATTAAAGAAAATATATAATGCCTATGTAATTATTTTCCCATAATATGACATATATTTTGTTGACAAAGCAAAACTATCAACTGAACTCCGCTCAGAATCGCTTTTTCGTTAGAAATAATTTATCTTTGCTTACATATGTGCATTAAATTTCCCCTCTATTACGTTCCCAACTTCTTATCTACAACAGTGTCCCACCCATGTGCGAAATTTTTCTGTTTTTTTATTTTTGGATTCTCGTATTATTATAATATATACGACATTAGTATATACGGTTTCTATTTAAATAAATAACCATCAATTTTGAGTATAATATTTTACGGTCGAATAATTATTATTGTATTGTAAATATTTGATCTTTGAACTTATAAATATGCAATACGAATCGTTGAAATATACTTAATTTATACGAAGCGTCTTCTATATCTATCCATTTGAAAATAATTATCGGTATATTATAATAATGTTTTCATTTTATAAAAAGAAGACGGCGTATAATACTTTATACGATAATATATATATATAAAAACGAAAATAAACCATACACCATTAACATGGAGGATAGTGTTGGAAGTTGGGGAGTTTAACGCGAGCATTTACCTCGTCCAACTTTTTAGTATTTTAGTTGGGATTTTGGGTCTGCCAGAAATAATGTTAAAATATTAAAAATTGTTTTCATATAACAGTTATTCACATATTTTATTTGAAAGATATTGCAGATAATTAATCCATGGATAAATGTTGGGTTTTTCTATATCTTTACCGATTTCCACTATACTTTAATGTTTAAAGTTTAAACGACGATATTTTCTCTTGAAAATACAATATACAATTTAAACACTGCGAAAATATGAATCTATTTCTCTTTGTTAGTTTTAAAATCTAGTTAAATCAATGTATAAAAGAAGGATTCTTTCCTTAGTGGTTGACAAATTCGATACATTTGCTCAGGTGTATCAAATATTGATAATCGACCAAACAACACCTTACACAAAAATTGAAATTTTCAATAGCGGCGTGAAAGGGTATCCTATAAAGCAGTTGCTTCATGACCAAATCAGATGAGTGTTTGTATTTTCAAAACTTTGTTATTAGATAAGTTAAAGAAAAAGGTTAAGTGCAAGGGCTTAGTTACAGCACTCGATTTTACTGGACTTATAGGTTGTTCGTTGTTATGACATTTTTTTCTACTGCTACATATTATTTACAAACAAAAAAAACCACGCCACCACCGAATATTTAAATACACGTCTTGATATTAGTAGTGTCTTTTGTGATACTCTCGAAAACCTGCGAGAAAACCTAGCTAGGAATCTCCTCCTACTTGCCCTATTTGCCGGTCTCGAGTTGATGATCATTCTTGATTCCATAATAATAATACAAGTATAATAAAGTGGATTTTGCGATTAACTCGGCGGTTTTAAAAACGTAGACTTTAAAAATCTCTCTGTCGTATATACACGTCTATTATATAAGTATCCGCCATAATAGTATCTTTTGTACGTACAGAACGAAAAACGTGCTGCCGGGAGGGGGTCTACGTTGATGGTGTGGAAACGCGTGTGCGGGTGTCACGTACGGTAAAAGGCCCGAAAAACGGTCGCCGACGGTATAATAGTAACGATAATAGAAAACGTAATAATAATAACAATAATAATTACAATATAAGATGAAACGACTTTCGGAAGAGATACTAGGGGTGGCACATTATTTCGGACGTGATGCAAACGGTTAGGTACCAACGTATATAGAATAATATAATATAGAAGACGCAAGTCGTGGCGATCGGAAATGGAAACCGTCATCGTCGTCGTCGTGCTCGTAGCGTATAACAGTTAAAAAAAAAAAAAAGTCTTATTATACGCGACCGTCGTCGTATTACTATTATAAAATCCGCAGAGCGTTTTTAAATGTTTCGGACCCCATTAGAGTAGAGTGGCCTCGCAGCGGGCTGGCTGCGGCCGCCGCCGAGCGCAGTCCGCAGTCCGCGGGTAATACGATTATTTTATAGTATCGCGTATGGCGGTTTTATATATTACTATATACTTACTTTAAAATAATATTGTATATTATATGGAGCAGCGTAAAGTATATTATTATACGAGAAATTGAACAAGCGGAGAGAGGGCGTAGAGCTGTATTATATAGCTAACATATTGTATAAATATAGATATATATAATGAATGTTGATGTTGAAAATTGGATAATGTCAACTTTTCGCTCAGTAGAGCCGATTTCGGGCTGTTAGTTATGATATTATAGTAGACTGGCCTGTTGTCAAACTCAAAGGTAAGAACATGGTAAATTTGTTTGTACGTTGGTTATTTTGTCGGTATTTTAATTTTGAGAACCGATGATTTTTAAATTGCAATTTTTCACATACTATAGTATCTCGCTAGAAAATTAAAACATCATGGAAAAGCCGACGTGCAAACACAGACAATGTTCTTACCTTTAAGTTCAACAATAGGCCAGTTCACTCTAATATTTAAACTAATAGCACAAAATCGGTTCTACTTACTAGATTTTACTAAATTTTCAACATTAGCCATGATATACACAGAGTGATCATTTTACATGAACCAGCAATTTTCTCGGGGGATTTTAAGTGGATTTGATTTCTGTGTTTTTTTTTTTTGTTTTTTTTTTTTTTTACCAACCATTGTGGAAACGTTTACGCTTTATTTTAAATTGTACTCCTACTCTAGAATAATATACCTTAATTAAAATTATACGTTTGATTTTAAATGAGCAACCCTTCTAATCGAACACACATTTGAATAGAGAATATGTTTCTAAAAATGTTGACATGTATAACACTTATATCGGATTTACCATTCATGAGCTACCTATAACAGTATAAAGTTCAGACTGAAAGAGTAGGGAAGAATTATAAATTTATCATTTAAAAATGGATACACAATTTATTTTAAATATGTTTTCCCGTTTTCCTCACGGTTTTGTTTTTCGCCAATTATTAAGAAAATTATAAAAAATATCATAAAAACATTTTCGTAGCGCACCAACTAGAAAACAATTTTACACCAGAAACTACCTTTATAGTCGAATATCGTATTAAGATTCGTGGGCTGAAAAGTGGTTTACATACTGACAGAAAAAAAAAGCACATACCATGGTAAAAGCATTGTACTTAACTTATCACACAGAAAATGGAAAATACTCTCCTAATGAAAAAATGTAAATTGTTTATACGAGAAATGGTGAAAAAACAGAGATTAAAAATACAGTAACCACGAGCGTTACTTAAATTTAAATTCTCAGTTTTAATCGAAATCGGTTTTTTTTTTTTTTATTATTTCGCGTTAACATGTCAATTGAAAAAAGTTATTCCGAATTTACCGCTCCGAAACGTAACGACTTTAATATCTGTTATATTCAACAATTAAGGAATTGTATACTTGCACACCAAATTTTTTTTAAAAAAATTCCAAAAAGTATATTTAATTTTCAGCGAGCAACCCTGAGTAGTAGATTTTGAGCGTGTTCAACGCATATTTCTTTATTTTTCTATAGTTTAAGTACTAAAAATTGATTGCCATCACCACGATTACACGTCTGTTTTTAACCGACTCGGCCTTGACTCGCGTTTTACGACTTTTTACAAAAGCTTTTATCCAGACGTATCGACTCTATATACTTATACTTTTAAATATTACCACTCGCCTGTCACGTCAATCAATTTATTTTTCCTTACACATTTTTCCTCCGCTAACTACATAATATGGTCAAAATAAGCACCATGTATGTTTCTGGCAAATTCATACTCGTCTTTTGTCCGCATTTACAATAATAAATTATGTAATAATTGTTTAATAAAGTCATATCACGGTGTGTGTTTTTTTTATCCTTATTCTGTTATAATATAATGTTTTTTATAGTTTTGAGTTTCTGAACATATAAGTTTAGAGACATCTTATATCCCCATTCTGTCCGTCCAGTACAACAGTACAACGGCTGATGATTTGGTTTAAAATGAGATATACCTATATTATCCATAACGTTGTTATTATTATTAATTTTAAATATAAATTTGTCATATTTGATTATAATTATCATTATTTATTCAAATATACATTCGTACACCATAGCCAATATTGTAAATATAAAGTAATACTATTGGTGACGTTTGAAAATATCCCGTTAGCTAATTATTGCACATTGAGATGTTTAATATATTTAGGTTCCAATAAAGTTATATTTTATAATACCACTATAAGTTACCGAATTCTTTCAAAATTGCGCATACGGAACTATGCATGGTTATTATTGTTTGAAATATGCGTTTGCAGGAAACCTGGAACTTTGTGGTTTCCCTAACTCGTTTACCCCGTGCATTTGTTTGTTAATATTATCGAGTAAAACACGATTGCGTACGTTCGTTATCGGCGATACCTTTATAAGCTACACGATTGCATACGACGTTATCTGATTTTTGATTACACGGTTGCATACGAAATTTTAAGCGCTGTTGCCAATTTGCATACCGGTATATACCTACCACATGAGTAAACTAGAAATAATGCATAAATACTTTTCGTTTTTCCATAAACTTGTATTGTTAACGATATCAACACAACATTAAATATATCTTAAGGATTATGATGAGTAAAAAAAAATGAATTGCAATATTTGAAAGTATAAGTGTATAGATGTTCAGAAATTAAAATGTAGGTATTTGAAAACAATTCATTTTTTAACAACGGTTTAATTTTTCTACTAACTATATTTTATTAGTAATAATATTCTATAGTTTGGATAAAATCATTGTACTGGACAATTACCGAGTGTATAGTATATGTACATTCGACAACGTTGCGCACGAATTCGTACGCAAAAGCGTTGATTTTAATTTTAATTTTTCCTATTATTCTTTAATCTATCGAAAAAACATACGCAATCGTGTTCTACCCGTTATTATCATACGGGACGTAACTATGAAATTTTAACTGTTGCCCGTTTCGTGATTAAAATTATATCGTACGCGTAATAATAGTCGAGCGTCCGCGAACAGGTGGTAAGTGCCCGTAGTCGCGTAAATATCACAATAACGGTCACAATAATGTAGTCATAATTAACACAATGTCACGCTGTATATTATAATTACGATAATATATAAATATGCATGTATAAAAAATACTAACGCGTGTAATACCTATGTGATAATAACTATATGTAACGAGAGATAAAATTAAACGGACCCTTATTATGCACGTGCACAGGAGGTTTTTTTTTTTACATTTCAATTATTAATTCTCCACGCCGCGCCGTCGTTATAATATACGGAAATGTTAGAGGGAGTTTTTTTTTTTTTTTTTCTTATTAATAATTTTTTCTCCCGTCTTTTTCACAGAACTACACGTACTGCAGAAGAGTATACTTATATACCTAGAGTGACGGTACGGCTTCCAGAGGATTATCCCAGTCGCCGCGTGTATGATATAATATTATGAAATTTTCTCGCCAGTACATAAATATAATTTCCAGGACGTTCGTTTGGCCGGACACCAATAATCGTACATCATACCGCAGCACTGTTATACCTATACACACTAATACGTCGCAGAAGAGTCTCGTGCGGATAGTTGAGTGATATATACGCGCTAGTCGAAATTTTACGTCCGCCACAATCATAATAATAATGTGTGCGTACGTAATAGTACGACGTGCCTATATAGTTTCGTCGCGGGTTTACGCATGTTTCGAAAGAAAAAAAAAACGACTAGCGAGCTAGAAAATATAGTGGTGTGGCCGGGAATTTTAGGCGACACGGTGTATGTACACCGATAATAATCACGAATAAACCGGAGACGTTTTTTTTTTTTCCATTGTTACCTGAATCGACAACTACGATTTAAAAGCCCCCCTGCCAATACGTATATTCAGTAAAACAACATTTTTTACTAATCAAATATTCAAAGCCATGCGTATTCGGTTTATTCTAATAAACTTTAGAAGACGGCCATGAAGGCTCGGGTTATTTTTGACATAGAAAACAATTTTATTAGTTTAATAAATAAAGATGGTTTGAATTTGGGGAACTATTTTTTCAAATCAATCGAAACCTGATCAATTATATGATTTATTTATAATCGAAAACATTTCCCGATTGATTTAATAATTGGTCCCCAGGGTATAATAATAAAATATGAACTTTTAATTTATGAATAAATGTGCCCGTTTTGCCACGCGCATGCGAGCGCCGTGAAGGTTAAAATGTTGAAAATAAGCTCAAAATTTATTTGCTTACTCCGATTTTTCTAGCCCTCTCCCTCCTTATAGCCAATTTTAACCTAAGTTTCCTTCTGACTGAAATATATCGCGTGCTATCATTTTTGAGTAAAACACACTCGTGCGTATGAATAAATAATACCTAGTATACAATATAGGATATAGAGAATTTGTGCGTGAGAAAGATAAAATATCATGTGGCCGGAAAAGAACACGGAAAAGTGTTTGGAAAGAGAATTCCGTAGAAACATTTATAATTATCAATTTCATACAAACATACTATCGGAACTGCTGCGGAAACCGGATGTACACCTAATATAGGATACATTATGACGATAATTCAATTTCGACTCGGCATTCGTTTAAACCACTGCACGTGTCGTCGTCGTCGTCGCCATTGCCCACAGACAGGATAATGCGATGATGAATGCATTCTATCATTTCTATACGCCTAGGCGATGAGCGAGTATACCATAATATATACGTATACCTATTATTACTTTGTCGACTTGTCGAGTTCCAAAATTATTACCGAATATGTATAATATTCGTTTTTCGTATTTACGGGAAAATAACTCGAAGCCCGCGCGCTAGAATACTATTTTAATACACCGGAATGTTTACCTCGCCCTATACCTGAGTATAGGTATGTATATACTTACATAATATTATCACACAACAATAATTATCAAACACGACTGCGGCAACAGTGTTACACGACGAGGTGTGCGCCGCCGGAATATAATTTACGTGTGTGTACAACATACACTATACTCGCAAACGGCCAGTCACATTTTTAATAATCCCGCAACAGAACGTCGATAAATTACGGCGTACGGTTTTTTTTTTTTTTTTTTTATTAATAATCGCGCGAGCGCTTGAAAACGCGCGCGTTTTACGACCGCGAATTACAATCGGCCGCGATCGTTAGGGATTCCCACGTGATGGGTGCCTATACCTAAGTACACTACTATACGGAATTAATTATCATAGGTTTTCGTTCAAATATTACAATATCGTTAATTTTCGTCTAGACGTTCGTATGTATTTCTCAACGCGTCGTGTACTCAAACTCGGTACACAGTTCTGTAAACCAAAATATTATATATATATATATATATACTATTCTATGGCTAGACGGTTATTTTAATAAGGTCGCTCGTAAATTCGGTTTGAATATTGTAATATAAGGGGATTGAAGCGGTTCGTTTTTGTACGGGTAAATTTATATCAATAAACCGGGAGTAAAGTAAACATACTTCCAGTATAGTCCAATTATTTCAGTTTAAAAAAATAATTCGATATTTCGTAGTCCTACTTGTTTTATATTATGTTTGTATTTTTTTTTTTTTTTCTAACGTACTTCTGTGTTTATTTTAAGAGTAACGGTGAATTCAACATATACTATTACTAAATTAATTCTATTTAAAACCCAAACAAATGTTTCCTATAAAACAAATACAAGAAATTAAAGAATTAATTTATGTTTTCAAGATAAAAATTAGCGTAGTGATTCAATTTTCCTCCAACTTATTATAATCATAACCGGCACATTTGTGCGTAAAAACTACCCTTTAAACCACATTAATACGAACAATATACTGCATGGTGTTTTATTCAAAAGAATACACGAATTTTACAGCTAGATGGACTTGGATCGAAGAAGAGTTTTTTTTAGGTATACTTAAGTACAGTTTTGAACCAGTTTCCGAAACCATAATCCGTATTTATTGTCTTATATGAAATCCCTATTTTAGACAACAGATTCAGATATGAGAATAAAAAAATAAAATTATGTATATCGTACATCCGAATCTGGTGTCGAAAATAGGAGAATTGACAACAATAAAATTAAAATTGTGTAAACAATGTTAAAATAACCACCAAGTCTTCCAAAAAGAAAATGCCATTTGGATAAAAGTTCATCGGGTTAAAATATTTCGTGTTATTGTTTGTGCGAAAAACACCACAGTTTACAGTTTATTATACAATTTTATGTAAAAAATAATTAAATATTAAAAAAATAAATCGAATAAAAACGGTAAATTTAACCAATGCTATAATCGTAAACTGTAAATCCGATAAAAGTCAAATTTTAAATACCTACGTAGTATATTTGCAGGTTTAAGAGATGAGAATTGTATAACCTAGAATTAAAAAAATTAATTTTTTCAAACAAACCGATAACCCAGCGTCCCAGCATAACTTTAGAAACTTAAATATAACATTATTTCATAATCAACTGTTGTCGAAGAAATATGTAGTTAACAAGTCAAAAGGCGCGTATAATAAAATATTTAATTTGTTATTATAGTAATTATTATAACAATATTACACAACGAAACCAATTAACATGTACTTCAATAAAACAAAGCAAGAATACAATAATCACGGTGCAAACATATTTAATGGTTTTATTAAGTTATCGTCTAAATGGGTCAATTTTTTTTGAATTTGAATTTGACCCTTTCCCTTCCTTCCGTTTTTGTTATCCAATCAAGCTGAAATTAGCTGCACACTGCAGCTGTACCGTTCTGACGGCAATACAATAACGTGAAAATAAAAAACAAATATTAAATTAAAATGAATAATTTTAAAACGAAAAACTGAGGTTTAAAAAAAAAAAAAATTGTCTCAATATTATTTGAGTTTATTTTTACCGAATATTTATAATATTACACAATACGGTCTTATACGGTCGTAATGCGATTTCGATTAAATCGAAAATTGTATAGGTACGCAGTAATTCAACGGAATTTTCATAAAATAATACACTATACAAAGTAAGTACACGTACTTCGGAAAATTGTAACCTACCTAAGCAGTTATACGTGACTAAATTTTAGAAAATACACTACACAGTACAAATAGGTAATATATTTTATATGTATACTTCGTGAGATTTAGGTACCTGTATTGCGATTTCCATTCAAAGTATCGGGACGTAAAATATTTTAATTTAAAGTACCACTGGTTGAAAAATACGCGTCTGGTTTGATATGAAAAAATCATAACGCTTTTATTAACCGAAAAAAATGTTTTTATAGACAAACCAAAAAAAAACCGCATTTCAATAAAACTTATTGAAATCAAAAATGATAAAAAGCCGAACATATTTTGCATAGCAGTACACCGATGTAGTTTGGAAGTCGGGAAAGTGTAATGTACATTATGAAACCAACGATCCATTACATTGTAATCAAAATAAAACCATTTTTAGGCGGAGTTTGGTTAACTGGTAAGATTATAGTACATCTCGTGTTTATCCCTTTTTAGCCAAAAAAAAATTTCCTGACGTATTTACTGTCGGTTATCTAAATATTGTGGAAAAACTGTCCGGAATATAGAAAAATCTTTTCGAAAAAGTACTAAATCCGAGACAGGGTCCACAAATTGACCAGAAGTTACTGGTGATTACAGTATACAAAACAAAAGAACTTGGCCTTTTTTCTTCCCTTTAATTCTTATCCACCGTTGCCACTGTAATACGAATTTATCAATGTACGCGCGATAGGCTTTTGTCATTTAAAATATTGTCTATTTCTCTATACACTCGTGCCACACAATTCTTCTGTATTTATTTATCATCCTATTATAATTCTCCCGTTCTTCTTCCGAGTAACCTTATATTGATGTGTTTTGTGTAAATATCCAAATGGTAGGTAAATATTTTGGGTGTTTAGCCGGGAAAATTTTATTTTTTTTTTATTCGTCCATTTATCACTGGTACACATGTACAACCTAAGTATCTATTAAATATTTAAATATATGGCTATGTAAATACGAATAAAAACAAGTTTACATGAATATATCGAGTTGTAATATTTAGATAAAAATGAAATAAAAGCTGATAGTTATGTTTATTTATCAAGACGTATCTATACAATATATTTATAAAGAGCTGGAAGTTTGCAAATACAAGTTGTCACTGTATGAAGTGTATATTGCATTAAAAACCATATCCGATTTATTCAAAAAATATTCCCTTAGGGAAGTGACGCCAGTCACTAGACACTTACTATCATAATCGTCTATTCCACTACACGCACGAAAAACTGAAAAAAAAAAGGTTTTCAAATGCAACTAGTGTGTATAAAAATTGAAATTTAGATAATCTCCGACGGGCACCTGTTGCGCTGCAGGATTGGTATCACGGTGTGCGAAATCGAAAAGTCTATAAAACCCGATGCGAGTGCGATTTTGCAACATCGAAATTCGGCCACTCGCGATTAAAAAAAAAAAAGGTATTTTTCTAAACGTACGTCATAGCGTTTGTTAACTGGACGAATCCATTACACGCGCCGAGGACGAGTTTTTCGAGAAATCGGATTTTTTTTTCCCGATTTGCTTCCCCCAAAACTCGTTTCAGCGTTATAATTTCGTGTTTTTTTACTGTAAATTTTTTTTCTTCCTATACGCGCTTCGTGTACATTTGTCTTGTTCTCTATACACATTCGCATTTTAATGCGTAGGCCCGAGTGTCACATTTGTGAAAGTCTCGTCATATTCCGTAGATACTGCCACATGCAGCTGTGCGCCGTGATGTTTTATAATATTCTATCGTCCACAAATGACTTGTGACAGCTAACAACATTGCACGATTAATCAAATAGTAAACGAGCAGGTACCTATAGTACCCGTGAACTTGCGAAATAAGACCGTGAAAAGAGTTATAGGTGACTGTTTGATTTTATTATTTCGACAACCGCAACACCGGAGGACGAATCCGTTGTCGTCGCCGCCGACGCATTTGCGGGGCTATCGAACGATCCAGAAAACGGTTTACCTTTTTTTGGCCGAATGGTTGGGAACACGTCTAGAAACTAATTTATTGCCTGCAACGTTCCTATTATTGTTTTTTTTTCTTTTCGTTCGAAGGATTGCGTTTTAACACATATACAAGTCAATGAAAAAAAAAATTAGATATTCCTTTTTAAAAATGTTAAAAACCTTGCGTTAAATGCATAATGATTATTGTTGTTATTTTTTTTTTACATTGATGCCTTTTGCACTAAATAGATAAATATACAATAAAACAGCTTGTAAAATAAATTGGATCAGTTAAATGATTGGTAGTATTCATACTAAATAAAAACAATGATAATCCAAAAATTTAATTTTCGTTGTAAATTTTAAGTCTTGGTGTATGTTTTAAACATCATTCTAACTTTTTCCCACAAATTCCCCAAAATAGTATTATTATTATTATGAAAAATGCCTATATAATATATAATATATAATTGCCTATATAAAACTAGACGAGCATAAAATAGTGTGCTCGATCGTCCGAAACAAATTATTAAATATGGCAACGTTGCAGAAAAGAAAAAGAGAAGTAATAATAATTATCAGTAGAATCGTATTTTACCGATTTGCGGTCAAGACCTTTTGTCGTGTCGTATGCGGGGAACTCTCTTCCTGCATTTTTGTATTTTATTTTTATCTAGATAAGTATATTTTAACACTTAGTCTTATCTATGGATAAATGAAATATAATAGTTTCGTAAATAATATTTCGTTTATAAATTTGAATATCTATAAAAACCGTTTGATAAAAGGTCGATTAACTAGAGTACATTTGTAAGATGGAGACAGCGCATGCGAGTATCACATCATCATCACATAAATTAATTATTATGTTACTTCAATCACACAGCTAAATCTTTTTAAATTCTAGATGTGTACCAATTCCAGTAACGTATATTACTGTTAGCATTTAGTTTAATAATTGGTATTATGAATAGGGTTAGAGACTTCTATTGTTTTCATAATATTTTTGAAAAATTGAAAAAATAGCAGAATCAAACACAAATACTATTCATCATGTAAGGGATTTAAATCAATAACTCTCAAATTATTCATCTCAAAACCAAAAGTTTTAAATAACCATTAATAATAAAACAAAATTAATTATAGTAAATAAATTGTACATCAAGTTTTTAGTAACAATTTTAATAAAAATATATAGTTTAGAGCATATTCAGTGCATATTTGCTGAAATATCTATTGTGCTAGAAATCCCTAAGCCTAGTATTGCGAAGAAAATTATCGTTTTATTTAAAAAAGTATATTTGTATAGAACACGTACTGTCCTCTTCATAGGTAATTGTGTACCAGGACACTTGTGGTTGTAATAAGTACAACACAAGCGGGGTGTAAATCCTATCAGTGTACGACTGCATCTTACGAGTGAATTTAATATGATATTGCGAATTAAAATGACAAATTATTAGAAAAATATCAAGTTGTATAACTGCATTGGTTTTTTTTTTCGTTTTTTCCTTCCGTATTTAAATTATCATATATGATAATAAACGATTTAGAATAAATTTTATTTTTTTGTATTTTTCGAGTTGATCTAATCCTTTGTTATTATATGATGTTATGAATGACTATTTTGCGTCTGTGAACATTTTCCCTCGTGGCATGCTATTGTATACAGAACATTTAAATAAAAATAAATATAAAATAATATTACAGCCTACATATTATATTTCTTAAAGATAATTTTTTTCTTTGTCTATTTCATTTATTCCTTTGAGAGTCGTATATAAATTATATCTATATATTTGTATGTACATATAAATATATATGCATTTTATATTTGTATATGTCTATATATATTTTTTTTTCTTAAGAATAAAATAAAAAAAAAAATAGCTTCTCGGTTATTTATACCGGATTATTTTATAATACAACCGAGTTACAGAGTATAAAATAAATAATATGGTTTAAATATTATATAAATTATATGCAATGTCTTATATATGCACCTAATCTACTGTCCGATACCCGTTTAAGGGGAAAAGATACAGTAGATAGTTTTCTTTTTTTTCCAAATTGTACTGATATACGATATACTGGTGTACTATAATAGGTACTAGTGATCAATAAAAATCTTCTAAAAACGCGTTTGAATTCACCATGAAATTTACTTTAAACCGACCTTCATACAATTTTGAATTTTTTTTTTATTTTTATCAATAATATTCAATTTTAAAATTTAAAAAAAAATGTTGTAGGATTTAAAATTTCAATTTGAAAAAGTTGTAAAGTCATTTTGAAGTAAATTTCATGAAAAATTCAACCAAGCATGTTTTCAACAGATTTATTCGATTACTAGAACAGTCAATACATTTAACTTAATACAGAAGCTTAACTATGATAGCAAACACAAAAAAACTGCGTGTATTATCAACGAATACTCGGTAATTATTGAGTGAGTATATTTAAAGGTGGGGTAACTACCCTATAGTTATAGTGCCGTCATTAAGTTTAAATATCTTATAGCTCTGTAGTAAAACAGTTATTAAAGTAAACACTTTTGGTATATAAAAATATACGGGTCAGATAATAATAATTTTGTCATTAATAATAAAAAAAATTGTTTCATTACCATCGGAATACAGTTAGTAGTAATAGATGTAAACAATATTTATGAAATTATGTAAATTCAATGTTTAAAAAAAAAAATACCTCGGTTCGTGCCAAATATAATTATAAATATTTATAAACTAGGACTCCATAATAAGTACAGCATTATATAAGGAAAATAATTTATAGCACGTGCGATTAAATTTGAATTCGCACAATAATATATAGGGTGGTTTTTAAATTTATTTAAATTTTTTTTTTATCATGATCCATCAGTATCAGTCATCTGTAGGAAGATTTTGAGTTCAATTTAATTTTTTTTTTCTAGTAATTCCAAATGTTAGCCTTTATTCTATATGTACCCATATCGATTTTTGATTTTCAAATAAAGAACCCCCACCCCCCCAATTATTTCTGAACAAAATTGGAAAAAAATAATAGTTAAATATTGAGTTATCTGATAATGTTCAAATGTATCTAGATAACTATTTATAGTTTATCTTAGCTAAATAAATTATTTTGGATAGTTTTTTATTTTATTTTATGAAAAATATTAAATAAATACAATTTTTTTTGTATTATTTTTTTAAAAAGAGTAGTTATGATATTAATTAAAGTTATCTTAATTTAAACAGGTAAATAACGAATAACGAATTAATAAATAAGTTGTGTTGTTAAATTGAATTTATTTCAAACCTTTAAAATTGGCAGTTTTTTGTTTCTCTTTATAAGTAACTTATCAATTTATAATAATTTCATTAAACTATCAAGTTAAATTAACATATTGGCCAAAAAGGAAAAGTTTGAATGTAAACAAATTTGTTAGCCTAAATTTCTGGATTATGGTCTTCATAGCTACTCCTCCGGTCTAAATTTTAAATTGTTTCAACCCCGTTAACAATATAATATCCAATATAAATGTTGCGTACATCAACATTTTTAGAAAAATATTATCTTTTCCGAATTTGTGATGAAAAGAAAAAAGATTTCGGAAACTAAAAGCTTTTAATTTAAAGTACAAGACTAATTCCATATAACACAATAATTTGGGGAAAAACGGACACAAAATTTACCTAAATACGCCAAATGGTGGTTAAAAAAAAAAAAAAATTATCAGCATATACATTGTAATTTTCGTATACATTAATTTAAAAATCAAATTTATAACATTTTAATAATGGGGTAGTAGAGTTGCTGATTTATTAAGCGAGGGATAAAAACCTACAAAATTAATTGTAAATAGCTGTAGTACCCTACTTTCCGAATCTATACAATACGAAATTAAATAAATCTTAAATTAAAATGCATTATTTATTTACTGCAGCAACAGCACTAGCGGTTCTCCCGATGTTTGATTCGAGCGCACCCGCGTTTTCCCAGCGTACATTTAATTAGTTCGTACTTTTTTCTTTTTCATTTTGCGTTTAGCTTTAATTACAAATAATAAGTCTCGTGGAACCCGGAAGTCCTCGGAAGTATTATTCTGTTGCGGTCGTGAATATAAATAAAACGGTGTGTGTATATACTCACCGCCACCGATTGACCTATATTAACTTATAGTATTTAGTCTAATGGTAAATACAGTTATGTGTATCGAGTGGGGAATAAAAAAAAAAAACCAAAACGTCTATTGTACGTGAATTTGTTCAACATGACAATATAAACTCTATTTGAACAGCAATAGTACGAGAAATTAGATATTTCGTTGAGCTGGACGCGATTAAATCGCGACATTGTTCCGCGGAAGTCACCGCACATAAATACAGTTTTTTTCTCTCTCTCTATCTCTCTCGATGTTATTTTTACATATTATCATATAATAATGCATAAACTGCAGTTTGCGACAACTACCGAAACGAGAAAATATAACGGTCAATACAGAGTGATTGATCCATATCTAATGTATTTTATCACGATCACGCGGTTTTTTGTTCATAACAACTTTAAATGAACATTTGATTATTTTTTTTTTTTTTTTATGAAATCATTACGATACCTACGGAATTTATTACAACGCTATTTTCAAATGCCTACTCTCACGTAATTTACCATAAATACGTGTATACAGTGGATTTTCAAACATCAACCTCTTTTCCTTTAAACACAGATTCTTACAGCGAAATATTGTATTTACTGTTTATTAGGCCTGTCCTTTATTTAATATAATTAATTAACCAATTAAAATAAATTAGTTTCAACAGTTTAAAATTTAAAACTAATAAATGGTAAATCCGATATATCTCTATCTGAGTCCATGTATATGAATACCAGAAGTTTATAGAAATTTGAGGTATAACGAGTAAAAATAGCGTTAAGCTTTTAATGATTTTATAATAATTTGGGTGGGGGGTACAGAAATCGAATTCACTTAAAATCCTCAAAGAAAATCGCTAGATTATTTATGAATCATGATAAATGGATTATCCTGTATACTCAAACATAGTTGATTTTTGAATGGAAAAAGGGAGGATTAAACATGGTAAAATTACAAATTAGGTAGAATGGATTGAAATTATTTTTGTTTAGGATTTATTTCGGTATACAAGGCTATATTGATTGATATTCGAATATCGAGAAAACGTCATAGTGAGCATTTGCTACCTTTATTTAATGGACAATATGTAGCGAAAACATTTTCGCGTAAAACGAACGAAAATGCTTTTAAATCGGTTTTGGAGACGAGACACATACTTTTTTTTTCTCGACAAATTTTTAGACGACAATGTTTTGTATCTCTTCGGCTTTTTTTTTTTTTTTTTAATATTAACTATAAACAATAAAACAGAAAAATAAAATTCATACACTGTTATGTGCATTATCCCATGATGATACCGCGAGCTTAAAGGCATTTTTGTAATATATCCCCGTTCGAAAGACAAATACGGCAAACGCCACTGTAACGTTTAATGAGTATATAGTATTTTTTTTAAGTCGTATAAACGATTTGTTTGCAAACGCCATGTATATAGGTATACAGGGCATATCTACAGGATTTGACAATATTCCACACGTAGAGACGGTTGGAAATTGTCAAATTCTGCAGATACAATCTATATACAATAACGTTCGTCTGCGGAGATAATTTTTATTTATCAGTCGAAAATTAAAATGCACACTACTATAAACTTATTTAATGTCGCAGTTTTTCGCAGTATCTGACGCTCGACTTATTCTGTATCGATAATTGCTAGTGATGTTTTAGTGATTAAATACGACTATAGTATTGTTATTTAATATATAATATGCAAATACATAATGTTTACACGGCCGTTTCATTTTACGTCGAATCAAAATACGCATAAAAACTCGACGCCATTTTATCGAATTCGATTCGGACGATCGGTTTTCTACATTTCTATTTTATTTGTATTTTATTCATAGGACTATAATCGTTTTGTGTATGACGAGACGATGGAAAACGAACACGAGCTTACAATTTTTGCTATAGGCGATTATAAACAATATACCGATATTTCCTTTCTTTATATAAAATAATATACCTACCTGTATAATACATACATTCTGGAGCATAACAAATTAGACCGATTTGCTTTCAATCAGTCCGACCGGTGTAGTAAAGCTTTCAGATTATTCAATGAAAATAGATTTAAATTCAGCGTCAATTGTACCCATTGAGTCGGGCCAAGATACAATTTTCTATTTAACTTCAAATTTTTTTTTGTTTTTATATTTTCAAATCAATTTTTTTAATGCTATAAGCACTGAAATTTGATCACATATACACTATACATACGTACACTTCACCGTGAATTTAAATTTAATTTCAGAATTCGTATCGCAATGCTACGTAGACTGTACTGGTTGAATGAAAATCTCTCTTAATTGCTATTGCTACGATTTCTGTTACGTATATGATGTGTTAGACAAAGAAAAACATAGCATACTTGTACAATACACCATTACGTTTCAGGGTTTAATCTTATGAAAACGACCAAAAGTCTATAGGCGATAAAAATAAGGCCTACACTTAATTACATGGATATGAACTATGAAGTATGAAAGAAAGATTGAAGACTTTTCAAAATAAAATATGATAATCCTTTAATACATTATAGATACAATTGATGCGAGAACTGGCCTGTAGTGAAAAAAGTTCAATACAAAATTATGTGAGAAAAAATGACAACAAAAGCGGCTCCGTAAAAATCCAAAGACAATAATGGCTACACAATGTGGCGTAGTGAAAATGGAGCAATTAACTTATTATTGAACTGGAAACAGAAAGGAAAGACACTAAGAAAGTGCCTTTAGAACCGGTATTTCGCTAAAGTGGAAGTTGCAAAGTTTTGGAGACTATATTATAGAAGTGTGAAACTAGAAAGATAAATTAATAATGTTATAAAATAGAGAAAAAATGAAACGATTTAATGATGGCGACGAAAACTCTTGGAGAGTTATATAGTAAAATACGTTTAACAGTTTAATAGTGAAACGCTTCAGTTTTTAATATTAACAATTGTCGTTTTTGCGTAGTTATACGTAAATGAAATTCGAGAGCGGTAAACGAATTATGATTTCTTTTTAATATTTTGAAATATACGTTAGCCAAAGAAAATAACGTAGTGTTTGAGATTATCGCAGAAAGGTGAAGAGCTTTTAGCATGAAAAGGAAATACGATTTCTCATAACGACGAAAACAAATAGCGGAGAAATTCAGTTTCAGAAATAATATAGATATAAAATTGGAATCATGAGAATTCGTGTTATTATTCCTATTTAATATAATGCAATATATATATTATAAGTCTGATATTTCAATAACGTTAGGATCGCGACAATTTTTCATTACGAAATCGTTTCGTTTTTGATAGTACAATGAATATAAATAACAATTATCTGGATGAATTTTCGTAGAAATTTCATTCCGAAAATTTAAAACATGAGAGAGAGAGAGAGAGAGAAAGAGTACAGTATGGAAATCATAAAAAAAAAAATTTTTTATTTCATAAAAATAAAATAACTATATATCCCTTAAAAATGTTCATGACCATTTTTTTTTAATCTGGCAAAAAATTTTATTTGGAAATTGGGCTCACTGTGTTTTCCATCATATACTCTATTTTTTTTTCACTCTATATCAGTGCCTGACTTCTCACTCAAACCGCAGTTCATTAGTTTATAAATTTATGATAATAGCTGAAGTTATTTAGTTTTGCCACTAATTTTATTGTATAACTACATGACGCTTCAACAATTAAAATCTATTTTATAACCTGTAGAATTAGATTTATTGATATATGTTGAATAGTTTTTTTTATTTTTTTTAAGTTGTGGAATATAAAGAGTCCGGAAATTTAAAATAAAAAACATTTGTGCGTCAACATTTAAATCGTGTGATAAATGTATAATTTTTTTACGAGTATTGTGTATATGCCTACCATTATATTTTTGACACTTGTATACGTGTAACAAAAACACAAAAAGTCGACCCGAATATACTTATACGTCGTTTAACGTGGGAAAAAGTGAAACCATATATTAACCAAAATTAATAGGTATTCCTAAGAACTAACTTAACCTAAACAAACAACCAATCGTGGAGAATTCCAAAATATTTTTAACTCACACACATTTGTTAATAAAAAAATGTGACGTTAATAAAGTTTCAAAATAAATTCCACCCCCTCCCATCCCCCCCAAAAAAAAAAATAATAATAATAAAAAAATAAAATATTGTATATACTACACAAATTCCTGTTCGGTGAGGATGAAAAAACAAAACAGAATATAATTTGATGTGATAGGATTTATTTTTATTGAAACTAATTCGAGTTTTTAAAATGTCATTAATAATACATACAAGTGACAAATTAGAAATATTCCCCGGACTACAAAGACTTAAAAACCAGAGGGGACGGGTAATTTACACTCAATAAGAAGGGGGCTCTGTCTCCTCATTTACCCCTTTTAACCGCTTTATAAGTATATTATAATGGATTAAGAAGATTTTTGGAAAAAAAGAGGACTTACGGCTTTTGGCCACTTGACCATCGATAAATGCCATCGTTTGAATACGTACTCGTATTGTCGTCTGGCGGCGTGGATTCCACGTGCTCGGTGTTTTGAACCGAGTTTATTATAATATTGTAGCCCGAAGAATTTCGGAAGGAAGCCAGGAAGCCAGCCGTACGGTGGCCGAGATGAGCCACGGTAAAATAATATAATAATATTGTGCGGGGGAGGTAACAAATCGCGGCGGTGGCGAGACGGAATTGCGGGGGCCGAACGATTCGACGTCGGCCGTTTCGTCCGCGTATCTAATAATAAAATGTCGTCCAAAATAAAATTAGAGATAATCGAAGGCACTTAATAACGCGGGCATTGTCAACTATATATACGTGGATGTCGACGGCGGCGGATCGCGGAGTCTCGAGCCAAAAGAAAAAAGCGGGGGCTTGGATTCCGAGCGGAAGGAGGCAGGAGTAGATGCTATTTTCGAGTGATTCCCGTGTAAATATAATATTATGATTATTATTATAAAGCGTTTGTTTATTCTCGTTTTTATTTAATCGGGTACTATTGTAAGTAGAAGTACATTACACTTTCGTAAATCCGTAGACGCGGCATATTTTGCATAATGTTCGTATTTGTTTACCATTTGTTTTTATAGTAAATACAGTATGCCTATACCTATAGCGTGCAAAATTTACCAATCACTATCGTTTCCTCGATAAATAGACCGCGATTGTTCGACTTTTCAGGGGAAAAAACAAAAACGAGAAGGAAAATTTGAATCGGAAAGCACGAACGAGGATAGAAACGCCTGGAGTTTTTCGTAGACTGTAGTGCTGAGCTCCTAATCCGGAACAATCCGAAAACCAGATTAATACGATCCGAATTGGTTCGAATATACTGAATGTAAAAATTCGTGTATTATCCGAATTAATGTTATTGATCTGGAAAATAAAATCTACTTTATTCATTATTACAGGCAAAATGTAAAAAATCAAATGTTATACAACTTCTACCTATATCGATCCATATTATATATCAATATATTAATCGCAAAAGTGTTGTAGGTTTAATCGGTTTGTATACTGTTTTTCTTAATAGAAGTTGTTAATTATTATTGTATTATTACCCGGATTAAAGAGATTCAATCTATTTTTTGAATCGGGATCACGGATTATACGAATTATCGAACAGCGTAGGTACGACGGGATAGAATTGAATACGTAAGACAAAAACGATAGGGGCGGGGTAGAGGAAACATTCAATTTTCATTTTTATTGAACGAACCAAATTGTTCGAGTAAATTCTCGCGTGCCTCCCGGAAATGTCCAATACCCGGGGCGGAGTGGATTGTTTATGTGACGTCTGGGAAACGGGCTTAGAGCGGATTTTCGTGAAAATCGCGGCGTCTCGTGCCGAGCCCTGCGCTAATGAAAAGTTCAATATACATAATATACCTATACAGCGTGTACAAACAATTATTGCCCGCGATGTTTACGGGACATAAAATCTTATTTCACGGGGCCTACGCGGCAATAATATAACAATATTATTATTTCGCGCGAACGGGGAGACAAACGCTTCGGTATACGGTTTCCGTTGTTTCGGGTTTTCGGCGGCGGCGGCGGCGGCGCGGGCCGAAGGGGCCGGCGGAAAACGGAATTTAGGTCAGCGGGGATGTCTTGTATTATATAGGCTCGGTTAAGGCTCGTTTTTGTTTCGATGAAATCTAATGGCGTAACCCGATATTATTATTATTATGGCGCGTGTATATACGATTATTAAACGGGCCGAGCTTCTTTTTTTTCTTTTTCTTTTTTTTTCTGAACCGACGGTCCCCGCGGGGTAATCTAATATCGTATTATCGTTATTGTATTAGGCCCCTCGTGCGAACACGAGATTCGGATTCGCGCACGCGGGGGGGGTTCGATACGATTATATATATACCTATACAATAATCGATCAGAATCTATGGCCGAATCGCCAGAAAAACCGTAGAGTAATCGACGTGACTACGACGAGTATATAGCTGGTCCCCGATCGCCGAACTGGTTCCCCGGGGTCTTCGGCTACGGTTAGCATGCGAATTTCGGTTCCGACGAGCTTTCATAACACGGCAATATACAACCGACTTTTCTCGCTATTATTTAAAATATTTATTTTCAAAAATGATTCACAATTATTTCTGTGTTTATATACAGATCTACCGTTCGATATTTCCCGATAGTTTCTTTTGGAAACCGTATTTAAAACCACTAATCGCTTAGAGCTAATAAACATAACCAATATCTATTAGACGTAATATTTTATTTATATTACCGTATCATATCATGTTATAACACGAGAACTTTCACAGATAACCTTCAGGCATCAAAAATTTAATAAAATATGATAAGATTACAGATTAGTACATAATGCGGGAACCAATTCAAAAGGGCGAATGGCGATAAGTACGGCGATTATGGGGAAAAGTGGATTACACGCACGACCGTGAATATACGTTGTAGATCCATACATAGTGCATGGGTAAAACTATATTCAATAATTTAAATAACGACGTAAAAAGTCTAATAAAAATTGTATGTGAAAGTCAATCTAATAATACCATATGATTAATAAAAAAGCCAATCAATAAAACACCTAATGAACTTGATGAGAATGTGTGTATTAATAATAAAATTATAAATAGTCAATATGTTTAAAACTAATATATTTCCTTATCTAACACTAACGTAACAAAACAAACAAAAAAACATTTAGATACTATGTTACTTTTATTCAATTTAGTTGTACTTTTAATTATATAAACATCTACTATATTAATAATAATTATATATTGAACAATATTCATGAACTCCGTATACCAGATACTATAGCTTAGTTGGTATACGTATCAGCTATTATTATTAATGCAATTCACTGTAATTAATAAAATGTAATTGATTTGGCTGAATAAATAAATAAATTGATAATAATAATATTGTAACTTTGAATATGTTTACACTATTTGATTTCCATAATGAGACTAACCGGTATTATACTGTAACTATAACTGTTAACCGAGCTGTCAACTTTAATAGTTCTATCACTGTTGTTCATTATCGATCTATGGATTATTCTTTCATCTGCATACGCAGTCCATAGTTATGAAGTCTATGTCACGTGTAAATAAAGCTGGGAGTAGAAAGCAAAAGCCACGTCGGATATTGGTCACATTTTGAAGTAGTAAAGTCACGTGGCGATAACGCACGAGAACCATAACACGGAATTAGACATTTTGGAAGGGAACGGTTGGTGGCTACGGTGGCTACGGTGAAGTAGTGCGATTACCTACCGAATTTGCTGACCGACGACAAAAAAACAAAGTAATATATTTACAAAAAAAAGTTAAAATAAGTTCTTGTTTCGTTCAAACATTTACCCTTCGTTCATAGCAGAGATATTTTTCAGAATTGCATACATGCAAACAAAATAGCCTATATGTGTTTTCGTGCCATTTAAATGTTGTGTATTTTTATATTAAACATAAAATAAATCGTAAAAATCGTAAAATAGAAAATTTGTCAATATTTTGGTCAAAAACGGACCGAATGTCAAATTAAGACTAGACTTAAAATTCAACTAGGCATTATATGACTAATTCAAATCCCCCCCCCCCAAAAAAAAAGGACGCTAAAGATCATACTAATTTATTATTAAGAGAGCGGTTTTAAATTTAAAATCGTCGTTCCCATGTGTCCAAGACCGTACCTAAGGAGGTGAAAACCCCTTGACAATTCTTCGTGTTGTATTATGTTGTGAGGAAATAATTATTTCAGTCAATAAAATAAAAACACCACAAATATTTAGTTTACAATCACCCCTCTCGATATTATTTTCCAGTTAAGGCCTTGCCTATGCCTTTGTGAATTTGGCCCTCGCAATCGTAAGTAGATATTCGATATTTTCGATCGTCAGTTCTCCGGAAATCTATAGTTCAAGTAAAAGTCATTTTGCATCGTGCCGATTTCGTACGGCGAATCTTTCGCGTAACGATTATGGAAATGTGCGAAATGTAAATTATATATTGCGAACGGACATTCCAGAACGCGGACTCGTGAATTTACAATTTAAAACAATACAAATCGTGAAACTTGTTCCGAACCGAGGCCTCCGAAAGTTTATATAATATCTGCAGATACATATCTATATACAGATGATCCTTTATAGGTAGAGGTCGTTTTCAAATATGGTTTTGTTTTGGGTTCGTAGGTATTTTGGAAAGTTTTAAATGTAAATATATAAATTATTGTAAAATAATATTCTCGACGAAAACTGTTTTTTTTTTTCTTTTTTTTTTTACCGAAAGCTTAAAATGTAAATTAAGCGCTAACACATTACGTTTTTTCGAAATTTAATTTTTTGTCCTGTCAATGAAGTTACTGGTTTTCAATAATATTATTCCACCAATTTACTACACGTCTAACAGTTTTTCTTAGTTGGGGTTTATAGATTCCGTATCTGAACTTTTTTCATTAATTAAATTATACTCGATTGCAGGGGTTATTCTTTAAAAGACCCGAAGAGCCAAAATATTTTTGCATAATATACGTACACATGATGAGGCTTCGCTAGAGGAAAAAGAAATAAACGATAATAACGCTATTGTAACCGGTTTGCACCCGTGATGGTTAATCGTGTTTTAGTTTTATCAAAATGTATAATATTACGGTCAAATGAAACAACGGTTTTTATTTAAAATAAATGTTTTCAAGTGTATCCCGGGAATATAAACCGGAGGGGGGGGGGAGACAATTGAAATATTATAAGACGGCCGTTCTCGATCGATCGTGATCCCGCATAACAGTGGCGCTATTAGGGGGGAGGGGAATCCCCGGGTCTAGACCCTTCCCCCCTCTTGGACAGTGTCATACGTGTTTACAATAATAATAATGTTTCGTAAAAAATAATAATTGATTCAAGACTCGGGTCAAGTCGGCTACCGTGATAACGAAAATACCTGATAAGAAAAAAAATCACGAGTTGACTCGAATCGAAAAGTCATCGCAGCCGATCTTCTACGGCGTGTTAGATATACATAGAGTAATTTATTAATAATTACTCTAAATAAATATCGTGTTATAGCTATCAAGTATCATTTGTTTTTGTTAACAATTTAAATAATGTGTTTGTCAATTTCGTAGTTTTCGCGGTTGTTTTTACTTATTTATTTCTAAAGGTTTATTTCTATTATATTTCATTTCATATATGCGGTGAATACGATTAATAGCAATTAGTCCATTACGAAATAAGTGTAACACCTGATGAAGTGATTAATAATTAAAGCAGTTCAAAACGTCGTTTATAATTCATTTTATAAACTGTTATCGTACTATTTATCGCAGCAGTGTGTATCTTAATGTTGTAGTTTTAATTTTACATTATAATAATTATATTATTTGCATTATAATAAACTTAATAATATTTAATTGAGTCTCTATGTTAAATTAATTCTGTTTTTGGACCTTCCGTCCTTGTGAAATCATTTATATCTATTGTTTATAATTTTATTAAGTGGTAAAAAAATCTGTAATATCAAATTTTTACATTACGTGTTGTTGAGAGTGTTGCGAATCGGTGAAATTACTGCTCAGACTGTACAACCTAACCTAACCTAACCTCCGACTATGGCGAGAGTCAAAGCCCTCCCAAAGAGGACCCTCCCCCTTTGGAAAAATCCCGGTTGGGTTAATATATGGTGGTTATATCGAATGCGGTTGACGTGCGATTTTATTTCTTATCGGACAAAAAGCCAATGCAATCCAGTGTACAGAAGCGAATTTACAAGGTTCAGGGGGCCTGTCCCCCTTCCAGACACAGATATATATATTTTAATGAAATATCGTCTAAAAAGAAGTATCTATAGATAAATACATGATTTTCAACAGTCCTCCAAGAGAAAAATGTTGAAAATTCACTACTGTCAATGAATGTTTTACTCGGTGTTTCATTAGTTTATAACAAATACACACATACATACACATAAATAACTAAAAACCTTCAAAAATATCACTCGGCTATACGGGTTAGACACGATAACAAACGAAAATCGGTCGACACAAACGAAAATTTAAAAAAAAAAAACGGAATAATTAATTATAAATCATTTGAAATAAGTACTTACATAGCTCCTCGCCAAGCACCCATGTTTCCGGTCTGGAGTTGACTTCGACGAATACGGTGGGCGTGCATATGAGCAACACCATCAGGTCGGCGATGCTCAGGTTCATCAGGAATATGTTGGTCGAGTTGCGCATGTCCTTGGACTTGAGTATGACGATCGGCACCATCATGTTGCCGACCACGCCGACGCCCAGTATGATGACGCACACCACCATGCACGTGGTGCGTAAGTAGCCTGGGAACGACATGTCGTCGCCGAGAAACTGGATGATGCCGGACCCGGCCGTGTCGTTGGGCGAAGGCGTGGTGCCGGCGCCCGTATCGTTGACGGTCACCGTCAACGGCGAGCTGCTGTCGTTGCCGAACGCGACCACGTCTAGCGCGGAAATCATGTGTGACGGCCGCGGCGGCTGTGGTGACGATGATGGTGGTAGTGGCGACGGCGGCGGTGGCGGTGGTGGTGGTGGTGGTGGTGGTGGTTGTGTCAGTGCCGATGGTGGCCGGCCGGTCGGCCGGCCGCCGTCAAACAGTCCGCGCCTTTTAAGTGATGCTCGACCGCAGCCGGTGACGGACGGCGGCCAACCGCGCGCTGCAGCAGCTCGTGCCCCGCAAACGGTTCAACATCGATTCACCCGCATTCGGCCGCATCCGGACGGCGGCTCGTTATGGGGACCACGGTCGCGACCGTCGGCCGTCCGCGACAGACGATAAGGGCCGATCGGGATGCCGGCCGCAGTGTGACTGCGCCCTGAAACGCAAATTAGAAGACGATCAACGGACAATTATAAAACCGCCGCATTTACATCGATTTACGATTGTCGCCAGTGCGTATTGAAAAGTTTATTCGGATGGCAGTTCACTCTAGCTCTGGTATTAGCTCGAAAACGAACCGTGACGGTACGACACGGCTTAAGCGGATTAACATTTGTCGGCGCGAATCGAACATCACACGGTGTACGTGTCGTTTAATTACGTAATATTACGTATTCTAAATCAATAATGTATTTTATTTCGACGAGTCCAATCTGCAGAATACTCGCGACGCGCGTAAACCCGCACATCGACACGCATTAACGTGTATTGAATTGGTGCGCATTAGTGACCGCATACAAACGTGGCAAATGTTAAACTAAGTGAGCGTATACCTACGCGAGAAATATTATAAAAGTTTAACGATTCAAATTATTGTTATTATAATTATGCACGCGGATTATATTCCGTTATTTATACTGAACGCAGCGACACACCGTAGACGAATTATTTTCTTAGAGTTTTGCGCGAAACGTATGAACAAATATTATTTCAAAAAAAAAAAAAATAACAAACATTTCTACTGATGGAACCGTACGAAAATGACCAAAACACTATACCGCGTTTACCTATATATATGCGTACATAATCAATTTTTCAATCAATAAATTAGTTTCGGAAAGTACACGCAACTTTTAGTGCTTTTTATCGCCTCGAAAAGTGATTTTCGAAAAAGAAAAAAAAAATAATAAGACACTTATAATAATTGAAAAACCAATAGCCGAAACGCGTTCCTTGCAGAAATATACCTAATCATCGCAAAACTTCATTCACAACGATATTGTGCTAGTACGCCACGCACGGAACACAGAAACTAATCTGTTCTTCGATTTTTCGGACCTACATCAGAAGGATTATAACGAAGTTGAACACAAATTGTGTCTGACTAAAATATATTTCGATTAAACAAATCAATATTTCAACCTGCACGCAGTAAAGAAATAAATGTCACTTGAAGGTAAATGTATATATGACTCAAAACCGAGGTTGCGAGTGTCGCGGGCCGCGGGTCATGGGCGCAGGCCCATTAATACGATAATTTTATCCGGGCGAACTATCTCTGATGCGAACGTTTTAAACCTGTTAAAATCGTGAATGTTAGCAATTTGCCGTTAACGATCGGTAAAAAACCAGAGGGATGGCCCGTACCGTAATGTATTTACGAACCGGAATACGGGTCACGGTGTGTTATCAATTGAATCGACGACGACGGTATGCAACGATAGCGAATCGACAAACGGATTGTAACGAACCGACGACACTATCCGTTGATTGATACAATTGTTATCAAACATACTTTGCGTTTGAACAATGTTCGCTCGTCAACAAACCAAACTGAAAACTCTATATTAATAATATTATTAAGTGTCTTTACGGAAAATAATAAAAAAAAATACCCGACCGACAATCGCGGTCGAAAATAACTCCCCACTGTATAATCTTCGTAAAACGCGCGCTGTAAATCTCTGCGATACGTCCGGGAATTTATACGGACTCGTTGGCAATATTTTCCCTGTCCCGTACGATCCCGTCGAGTTGTCATCAATTGCCATTAAATCGGGGCCATGTCAAGGGGGGAGGGAAATTTCCCGGGAGCGTTAAATCTTTTTAAAACTATAGTGCCCAATATAAAACTCGAAGTGAAATCAACAATTGTGCTTAGATTAATAATATGAATATTGGACGACAATTAGAAGAGCGGAAGTATAATTTATAGTAACGCAATATTATGCGAACACAATGGTAATAGAACAATTAAGGTATATAGAAAAATATTGTTTTGTAAAGGTAAAATGTCGACATTTCATATAAATTAAAAAAAAATTGTAAAAATTTAAAAAATAAAATAGAACAAATTTGATTCAAATCAAAGGTGCCCGCAGAAATATAAACCGGGGAGGACAAAAATCAAAAATATCCCAGTTAGATTTTCTTTCAAAAAAAGTACTCTACTTAAAAATCAGAGCAAAATCTCTGATAAAAAGGTTGTTCACAGATAAAATAAAATAAAATAAACATCATCGTAAAACCAATACACTCCTAGCTCCACTCAGAATCTAAAAAACACATCGAAGTAAAACCAATAAAAGCACTTCGTCACTCGAAATCTAAAAAAAAAATTTAATTCACTTGAAGTCCTCCGACAATTCTCGTTAGATCACAATAATTGGATTGTTCTGTACATTATTAAAATGATATCTTATATATTTATTATCGTCAAAACCAGCCTCTATACGATATTCCTTGTATATTTCCATATACAATTCTGAGATGAGATCGCCTAAAAATCGGGACTGTAGAAATCTTGAAATCCGTAACAATTTTGTAAAATCGTTTTCTCCGGTCCAAATTCCCCGATTTTTATATAAGTAATAAGCGGCGCCCCCGAGATAAAAAAAAAATACAAAACAATAATTGAAAAATTCGCGTTATTTTAGGTTCCGAAGCTATTGGTTTTACAGTGCCGTTTATTTTTTCTTCTTTTTTTTTCTTTGTTCTAGTCTGTGGACACGTTTTTTCTTAGTATACTTGCTCCGATTTTTATGTGTAGCAACTTTTCTGAAATCTCAAGTTATCTTAATTGTACTTGAAAGAAGTCAGTTTTTGATTTTCCATGCCATTTTTTGAATAAAAGCACATAAGTAGAAAAAAAACGTAGGAAAACTTACAATTTCACAATTTCATTGTTTTATAAAAACACAAACGACGTTTCCTACCAGAAAAAAATGATTTAATTGAAAAATCACTAAACACCTTTTTGATTTACTTTTTTACGGTATAATCGTCGAAACTTTTGAGCTTTTAAGGAGTTTTAATTTTCGAGAGTTTCTTTTTTTTGCTATAATTCTTATAAAACACGTAAAGACTTAAAACTTAGTAATAATACGTATATTGGACTTACCTAGACGTGGTAAAATTTCCAATATCATTGGACGACTTTTTTTTTTTATAACGTTTTGAAATCAAATTTAAACGAAAATCGCAAAAAACATTACAGTACTACAAGTTATATATTACCGAACTGCGCTTGGAATCGTCTTTCGTCAAGCAATGGTTTATCGTTCTTTATAGAAATAAATGAAATAACCTTATGTATCCTACCTCCACAACTTTTCACCTACAACAGTGGCCGCTCCCGTCCCCGGTATCAGCTCTTTTTTTTTATTTTTAACTTCGTTTCAAAACTGTTATATACTATTATCATAGTCCCGGGAGGTTCACGCAAGACGTGCATTTTCAATTATTAAAGTTAAAAGGTATCGAAAAAGTAACTTTTATACGACTCAATGGCGAATCCAGGGAGCAACGGAGTGATTTTAAATTACACCGAGAACACAGTAGCAGAGTTGTATGTTTTGATCGAGACCGGATCTTAACATTTTAACACCCGGGAAAAATGAAAAAGTAATTTCAAGGAAATGACCAGTTAGTATTTTTTTTACGAAAAATCAAGCACACTTACACAATAATGTTACCAACTATTTATAAAACCACTCGCAATATACAGGACCAATACATCTTTTACGACAGATAATTTAAACGGTTTTAACTTATAAATCAAAAATTTTTAATTTTATCCTAAACAATAATAGTTTTAGAAGCACTTCTTAATAGTGTATTTGAAACTAAAATCTGTGGTCAATATTTCTAAGTTTCAAGTTTAGAAAAATAACCATTGGTGATAATAACATGTGTGAATTATTTATTAACAAATCTAAAATAGTATTTGATTCTTA